ACTAGTAAATCCGCATATGATCCGAGCCGTCGTACCACTATTGAAAGTAAGCGCTCTTTGTGAGGGGCTGCGTTCGACGACGGGCTACCAAACTGTAAATAAATCGTGGAAAGCCCCTCAAAAAGGCTGTAGGAGTAAACTTAATCAAATTTCAAGCTCTATTGACGTATTAGTGGAGATTTCCAGATAATCCATCGAGCTTTCGATGTATATTATAAGAGCCCTTTTATAAACCACCGACTATATAGGACTGGTTATATTGGATCGCGGTTAATTTTTGGTTTTAATTAATTCCTTTTGCTATCTCCTACAAATGGCTTTTTGGTGGGACCGCTTCCCGTCTAGGATTTATATGTGCCTCTGTTAACAAATGAATACGTCAAATTTAGAATTACATCAACATTACTTTTACGCAAATCCGAAATCTAAACGCAAAATTGAGATAAAGTTTTCATGTTATATTCGAAATATCTTTGTTAGTAATTAAAAAGTTTTTTTAGTGGAAAGCTCGCGTTAAAGTTAATTACCATAACAATCTAATTGAGTTAAATTCATATAATTACTGAGAGAGGCATATAGGGTGTGATTTCTAAAATTTTGCTACACTTTCGAAATATCTTGTCTGGTAATTTAAGCATGTACATCCCATACACTTAAAGTTTAAATTAACCATAGTGGTGTAACTGAAATAAATGTGTAATATTATTGTAGCAGATATACAGGGTGTTTCAGAAAGTCCTCCCGTAAATACAAGGGGTGATAGTACGACAAAAAATATTATTTTTCAAAAAATAATAATTTTTTGTCTTATGGCTATCTCCTCTTGTTTTCGAGATACAGAGCGACAAAATAAAATTTTTTAATAGAATTTCTACGAAAGTTTCCAAACGGCGCCAAACATTTTTATGAAATTTGGTATTCCCAGGTTTTTAAGGATGCCAAATACGCTGGTCTGATTATTTTTTGTATATTTCATAGAGGGCGCTAGTTATGCTACATTCCTATTACATTTTTCTAAGCTCAAATTTTTTTAAGGTTAGGTTTTTTACCATTCGGGTTCCAATTTCTAATGTACAATTTTATTTTCTAAAAATAATGTACTTTCATAGAACTTCCTAATGTGGACGGTTTTCGAGGAAAAGGCTTTTAATTGGACTCTTACAATATTACGGTGTATAAAATAAGTGACCTTTCTCAAAGTAGGCTTATGTCAAAACTTATTGATGGATGTCTCATAAAGAACGCATACATTTTTAATAATATTTTAAACTCTAATTAACTTTATACCAAAATTTTAGTGACTGTAATAAGTCATTACTAACTACAGTCACTAACAATCACTAAAAATATATATAATTTGATTCAAAACTTTTATAATTTCGAAATTTATTATCTCTTATAGTTCATCATGAACTGCAAACATATTTGTTTCAAAACTACCAGTTCCTTAAAAAATATATATTTATTTAAAATTTAGTATTAATGTAGGAATTATTCAAGACAAATGTAGCAGAAGTTTATGTAAGATCATAAGAAGTGTTTGTGTTCCGAATTTTACCTCAATCGGATGAGTGGTTCAAAAGTTATGAGGGAAAAGCGGGAAAAAAATGTTCATTTCAACGCCCTCTATCTCCGAAACGATGCGATTTAGGAAAAAAGTTTATATCATGAATGAACATTATTTGAACCTGTTCTATCGATTCCTGAAGTTATCCAGATTAAACCTGAATCACCCTGTATAAACATGTGATACATTAAAATCAAATGTACTCTTGAATCAAGAAATTATTTTTTTGAGTGTAGGACATTAGGATAAAGTTTAAATTAATTACTATCAAAGTCGAATTGATTTATAAAATTATTGAGAGGGGTGTGTAGTGTGCAACTGCTAACATTTTGCTGAACTTTCGAATGTAGCGAAGGCAAATTTCCGGCGAGGTTTGTCTCCGGTAAAAAATGAGCGTCGGGATCGGAAACATTGAACCTGCGAGTGTACCGTGCCGGCCTCGATTCCCAATTAGGCGCATCCAACATCTCGGTCTCCCGATGAAGTATTGTTTCCTCGCGAGATCCTGATGGAACTTTTCAGCACAAAAGAAGAGATAAGCCGAGACAGAGACTTTCCTTCCTTATTTCCCAAAGAAGAAAGGACGGCAGATCATATTCTCGCTGAATGCAAAATTAACTCGCCCGCCTCTCCCTTCGTTTTAATTCATTTTGTCCCCGCGCTAGATTTAATGCTCGGTTTAGTTTCATTCAAAACGATAAGATTACTTAAAACATAAATAACTCGACTAAATCCGCTTCTTAATTTTAATCGCATCACGCACGTACAATCTACGACAACTTGTTTACTTTTATTAACTTATATAATCACTCCAGTTTCCAGTGCTCTTCAGGTCTGGCAATTTTTTTTTGTTTAACGTTTCGTGTAACTTACCACCGCTTTTTAATTTAAAAATCGCTAATAAACAAGTCCTAACAAGTCAAAGAAAACCGTACTTATAATTTAAAAAAACCAAAAACATTTTCGAATTGTTTAAAGATAATTTTTCTCGCGCAGGCAGTAATCTGCCACGTCCGCAATCTGATTGAAGTTAGAATTCGCTTTTAGTTCCTGGCAACACTTTGGAATACACTGTCGCACATTATATATCCCTGCAGTTCCCTGCTTTTGTAGCCGAGCACTGAATACTTTGCATTTGAACAATACGTTTATATGTTTTACGATCTTTGGATCTAGACTACTCTTGTGGAATACGTTCAAAGTATGTACCTTACCGGATAATGGCCGTATGCGAATGCTTTTCCCTCCGTCACATTTTATTCCTCTAAATTCTATAAAATACGTAACGAATAAATTTTATTTCCTTTTCCCCTGAACACATATCGCTTTAACAGACTATTTTGGATAAAACAACGAATTAAATAAATACGAACAGTTTTTTACTACACTTTCCATAACTTCCAAAGTTGGTTGTCTGTGTAAATACACCAAGTTTGTTACATCTTTTCACACCGCACCACCAACCAAGAAATTACAACCCCTTGCGGCTGTTCGCACCTTTATAGTCTCGCTGTGGCTTGTTTAAAAGCCTTATTTGCCTTATAAAATCTTATTAGCACACGGCCCTCGGTAGAGTTATACGAGCGTATATACATGCAGCAGATAACATGCTATTGTGCTCCTATCTAGTGGCAATATGTCTTACGCTGGAGATATTATCTGGAGAACTTAAACATAACCTATCTTTAAAACCACTGAAGTTTCTACCTCTTCGATTCCCTTTTCTGTTCTCTCCGTGCCCGCATTATATCTTCCTTATTGCCGGCAATCACAAGTCGACTGGCCGCGGAATGCCTTTACAAAGACTGGATAAATTTTTTTTGTACGTCAGAAAAATTAACTAAATTTTAAAGTCTCTAGAACAGGTACTGAGGATTTTAAAAGCGATTTTTTATATCGGCCCCACGTTGGGCGCCAAAAACAATAAACTTAGTAATCACTCAACCCGGAACCGCTTATACGGTTATATAGTAAAAATGTTACAAGATTAAATTTTAAATAGTCTGTAGAACAAATAGTGAGGGTTTTAAAAACGGTTTTCCTATTATTTTTAAAATTGGTCCCACGATGGGCGCCAAAAACAATAAACTGTGTTAATCGTTTATATGATTATATAGTAAAAATGTTAAAAAAACTAAATATTCAATAGTTTAAAAAAGATACTGAGGGTTTTAAAAGCAGTTCGTCTGTTATTTTTCATCTGTTAGCCCCATTAATTAACACAAAATCGCTTATAATGTTAATGTTACAAAACTAAATTTTAAATAGGACATGTACTGAGGGTTTTAAAAGCAGTTCTTCTATTGTGCTTTATCTTGGCCCCACGATGGGCGCCAAAAACAATAAAACTGTTAGTCACTTGCCTAATCCGGAATCGCTTACACGGTTATATAATAATGTAACAGAATTAAATTTTAGTCTCTAGAACAGGTACTAAGGGTTTTTAAGAACGGTTCAATTATTATTCTTGCATTGATTGGCGCCAAAAACAAAAAACTTTATAGTCACTTACCTAATCTGGAATCGCTTATACGTTTGTATAGTAAAAATGTTACGAAACTAAATATTCAATAATCGCTTAAAGAGATACTGAGGGTTTTAAAAGAGGTTTAAAGAGGTGTAATTTTTTATATGGGCCCCACGATGGGCGCCAAAAACAATGACACTATTAGTCCCACTAGTTAATACAAAATCGCTTATACTGTTATGTAATAATGTTGTTACAAAACAATTTTAAATAGCGTAGGTACTGAGAGTTTTAAAAGCAGTTCCTCTAATATTCCTTATTTGGCCCCACGATGGGCGCCAAAAACAATAAAACTGTTAGTCATTTGCCTAATCCGGAATCCCTTACGCGGTTTTAAGAGCGGTCCAACTATCACTTTTCTGCATCGACCCCACGACGGGCGCCAAAAACAATAAAACTGCTGGTCAATCGCCTAATCCGGAATCGGTTATAAGTACCAACGGTGGCAGGGCCGAACGGCATGGGCACCCCACAGCTAAACGTCGTGCCGAATATAGGACCTGGCCCAACAGGTCAGATAGGTTACCGGTGCAGCATAGTTATGCAAAAGCCCTTTCCCACGGTTGCACCACCTATACAGACGCATGTATCACATGTCCACCGTGTCCTGCCAAACTTCTCAATACTATTAGATTTATGCGGTAGATATGCAAAGTCTAGCCGGCCGGGCGGGGTGAAAATTGAATACACCGAGGCCTCTGCGTAAATCGAAACTGACCGTGATTATTAATAGGAGTTCGCATATCGATCACTGAACGGTCAATGCTGTAAAACACCTTTTACTGATGCCGAGTTTGAAAATCAAATTTGTTGCTGTTAAACTAGATCATTTTGGTTCAAATTTTAGTGCTTTTGTCCAATAAAAAAGAAAAAATATAACCATAGAGATACAGTATCAACTCTTACCTTTCTGATGATTTCAAATGAGTTCGAAACACTTTCTTAGTAATTCCTCTTAGTCCATCTCGTCGACAGTGTGGAAAATATGGCCGACATGGTTGCGAACCATTTTCTAAAAAGCAAAGAAGAAAACTTACTACATAAGTCTATTTAGCGACATAGGTACATACAAGAATGGATTTCTCTGGTTTCAAGATTACAGACAGTTTTGTGGTATGTAACATTCATCCATTATTTATTTAAACCTACTAGCTAATACTACTGAATCATTCACCTATCAAAAGCAACAACTTTAATACATTTTTTTCGAAACCCCCTTGCAAAATTTTTATAACCCGCCGCTCTTGAAGGTTACATGCTTGGTTAAAATTTTGAACCATGTTTCTGCGTAACAGTAAATCCTGTATTATTACATCAGGCCAATATGGGATGGGTGGTACTTACGCATGTAGGTATAGGCTTAAAGACGTTCGTTTTTTTCTTAATTTTATGCCATAAATTACCGCTCATTTACGGATAACGTCAAAGTTGAGCGGTGAAATATTAATCGTTATCAGAATCCCTCGGGTTTTTTTGTACCACCCACAGATAAGATAAGTGGAACGGTTAAAGGTTAGACGATAATACTGAGATAAAGTTATATTACGAAACAGTTCGTTTTGGTTTTAAAAGAGCTGTTAACATTAAATAATTGTTTCAATGGGATTGAAACGCAATAAAAACCGACAAAAATAGACCGGAGTAATTACAAATTATTATCGATTTATCCGTTACAAACGCACGAAGACGAAAACGTATATTTGGATGTTTTTGTGGAAATTTTGAGGACATATTTTGGTAATTTTACGCCCAAGGTGTGGCTTTTCTCGGTAATTTTAATGCCCCTGCGTATACCTCATTAATTATAAATATCAAATTTTAGCAAAGTTAGACGCCCGGCGAAGAACCAACCACAGGCAACGTAAATTAGACTGGGACACTGATTATCAAGGTAATTAATGAGTCACGTGACACCGCGACGAAGGAGACACTGGGGTGTGGGCGCCACGAGGGTAATTTCTTAGGAATAATTAACAATATTTCTTTTTTTTTTACCGATAAAATGCTTTATAATAATTTGAAAAACTTTAATCAATATATTACACATCTGAATCTGAATCTACACACACGAATTGGTCTAAGAAATTTCTTTCAGAATTTTTCCAAGATAGGACAGGCCAAATAGAAAACTTATTTTAGCTATTCAAAAGATCAGTAAAAATTAAATCGAATGCGTCTGAAAGTCGTAGAAGAAGCCGTTTTCTCCCAAAATTATTGGTATCGAACCTTGCGCAATGGTAAATAGAGTCTAAGGAATTTGAAAACGATCTGGATTTGTCCGGATCTTGTTTACTTCCTGAGATACAGACGAAAGTTTATTGGGAAAAATCGTTATGAATCTCGCACAAATCTCGAATTGGTCTAAAAAATTTTTTTCAGAATTTTCAGAGGCCGCGCCGTAGAGAAAAGTTTTTTCTATTCAAAAGATGAGTAAAAATTAAATCGAATCCGTCTGAAAGTCAAAGAAGGAGCCGTTTTTTCCCAAAATTATTCCTTTCAAACATCACGCAACTGTAAATCGAGTCTAGGAACTTGAAAATGATCTGGATTTGTACGGATCTCGTTTACTTGCTGAGATACAGACGAAAATTTATTGGAAAAAATCGTTATAAAACTCGCACAAATCTCGAATTGGTCTAGGAAATTTCTTTCAGAATTTTCAGAGACCAAATAGAAAAGTTTATTTTTTCAGCTATTCAAAAGATCAGTAAAAATTAAATCGAATGCGTTTAAAAGTCGTAAAAGGTGTGTTTTTTTGTCAAAATAGTTCCTTTCGAACATTACGCAATGGTGGATCGGGTACAGGAAACTAAAAAAGTATACGGGTTTGTCCGGATCTTGTTTACTTTCTGAGATACGGACGAAAATTTATTGGAATCAAAACATTAAGAACTTTATTTTTCCGACTATTTAAAAGAGGTTTTCTAGTAGTTTTATTTTCTCTCAACATTGCATAATAGTTGATAGGATCCGAGAAATTGTAAAAGAATCTCTTTTTACTGAGATACAAATAAAAATTAATCAGAAAAGAATCTCAGAATCCTGTCACTCAAATTGTCGTCTCGCTCAAATTTGGTTATAATTTGGAATCTACGTCTTCGAATTTTTCAGAATTTTTAGGGTTCAAAAAATTTTTCAACATATTCGAAAGATGTGTAAAAATTGAATCGACAGAAGTCGATGAAGAAATAGTTTTTTCTGAAAATAATTCTTTCATCTTGTTACATTACACTAAATCTGGTCCAAGAAATACGAAAATGGTCTTAACCTTTCCGGATCTCGTTTACTTTCTGAGATACAGACAAAAGTTCATTTGAAAAAGTCGCAGAGCCCCCAAAACTCAAAATTCGATTATGTATTCGGAATTTACGCCCTTGAATTAGTCTAGGAGAATTTTTTACGAATTTTCAAAAGCCAAATAAAAATATACCTACATTTTCAAGCTATTCGAAAGATTAGGAAAAAATTGAATTATCTAAAAAGTCATTGAAGGAGTCGTTTCTGGGTAAAATTATTCATTTCAAACATCATACGATTGTGAATCGAATCCGAGAAACTAAAAATTATTTCGATTTTCCCAGATCTCGTTTACTTTCCGAGATACATACGAAAATTCTACCACCTCCCGAAACTTTTGTTCTGAATTTTATATTACATATATCATACTGTATAATTCTGTATAATAAACATACCAAATGTCGTAACAAGACAGTACGGTGTATTGAGGCACGTGGATGCCATTTTGAAAACTCTAAAAATAAAATACAGGTCACAAATGTTGACAATTTCGTACAAGGCCATTTTGACAAGAGGAATTTATACCAAATTGTAATATATTATAAATATGAAAAATTCAACGTTGTCTTCGGAACCGAGACCTGGCTTAAAATATACTTTTTAGGGTCCCCCAACAGTGTGTTTTATTTGTATTCCAGCTCCAGTGCGTTGAAATTCGAGAAATAAGTTTTTCGCACCTTACTCCATTCGACACGCCGCCCTAAAGTGGCTTGTCAGGCAACTGGGCCTTTCCTTGGATACGGGTAGACCATATAAAGAACCATAAATTAGAAACACGATACTAAACAGTGTTTATGTTTAATGGGTCTCGTTTTGGGCCTGATTTGACACCACGGGTTTATTACTCGAAGATTTAATTTTAAATGCGCTGGCGGGGGCAGTTCTTTCCCCGCGTTCAACCGCATAATCCTTTTTTCCCGTCGCGACGGCCACTAGTTTAACGCTTGACGTAGACCAAATACTCGAAAGTGTGTTAAAAATATGCCCAGTCCAAACTGTGGCGCTTTATGAAAAGATTTTGAGCAATTAACGACAAGTCCGTCTATGATGCTCGACAACATTTAAAGGACTGTGCAACTTGTGCAATAATGTCAAAATGCTTGGTTGTAGAAGGTCAGTCATAATTAGGCTAAAAAAATGAACCGAAACTTTCAGTTCAGGATGCTTTTTTGTAGTAAAATAAAAGCTGATTTTTAGCAAGAAGTTTCGGCAATTTTTTTTTACTTCTAATTATTATGACTCGCCCTGTATAACCGTATAGCTCCGAGGAGGGCGAAGGGATATGCATTCCTGCGGTTTCCTATGCGATTAAATATAATATTAGCGGCATTAAAACGTATTTATCCGCGCTCGCATTAGAAGCGGGCGAGTAAAGAGGGCTATTTGAGGGCATCCCCGCTAGAAAATGGGATTGAAGGAGTTTGCTTGTAAATGTCGGATTAGAGCATTAACATTTATGCTAGATGTATTCTGAATGAGTTCAATGATGGGCATGCGTGCGTTGAGTTCATATATTAGCCACTCTTGGATATTCTGTATGCTGTATCGCCTCGTTTGGGGCTGCCTCTATATGGACGCGTTATCCCGTAACAATTATCCAATACGCTCCACTAGCTTGAGCCTGTGGCTCTTAAAATGTTCGTCTCCTTCTAATTGGAACGGAATTTCCGTACGTACGGACACGGAATCTTTCAGAAGTACCCTAAAATTTTGTTAATAAGCGAAAAGTTACATCCGATTCATTGTTTTTGAAAATATCAAAAAAGTAAAACAAGTAATTGAGCTTCTTTTTCCAGAGACATAGGAGCCAATTCTGTTTCTTGTAAAGGAACACCCTATATAATTTTTCATAATTTGTTAGAATATTTCCCCGGGATTGCAGTGATTTTGGTAGGTCTGTGTCTTATACAAATAAGGGAGATATCACCAAAATAATTTGCCATAAGTGTAGTGTAAAACAAACTAATCGAAAAAAAAATACAGAACTCCAGTAACTGTTCAAATCGAAATCTCACTCAAAATGTGTTTATATATTCGTAATTTACGCCCCAGAATTAGTTTAGGAGATTTTTTTTAATTTTCAAGGTAAAATACAGAACTTCATCTTTCTAGATATTCAAAAGGTTAGTAAAAATTGAACCAAAAGTTTAAAAGTCTATGAAAAAGTAGTTTTCTTCAAAATTTTATTACATAAAGGTAAATAGAGCCCGAAAAACTCATAAAAGGCCTCGATTTTTCAGAATCTCGTTTACTTTCCGAGATACAATTCAACGGAAAAATCTGTATATTTAGATATGACCGAGGATATGTACCACAAACAAATATTTAATTGTCGACTAAAATCTCCTTTCAAATTCTTTACATTATGTTTATAGCATATTTCTGCGATTATATCTGCTGTACTATTAGGCATTTCATAAAATGAGTTTAAGTAAAACAACTGTTTCATTTTAATCTTGCGAAACACTCAATTTATTGTGAACTGCAGCGAAACATTTTTGGAACTTCTGCTTTCCTGTTGCAACTATGAATCTAAACCCTCGTATCGGAATTTAAACGCATCAACAGATTATGAAGAGTCAAATAAGTAGGTGCTTTTTGAGAATTTTCAAAATTCTTCTTACAGATCCTTTTTGAGATACAGAGTGTTCAGAATTAACGAAAAAAAAATGACAGTTGAGGGAAGCCACGTAAATCCATTCATTCAAAATTCTATCGTCTCCCAAAATTTTTGATCTGCTTTTTATATTATCCTTTAAATACATGATATCTCAAATAGTGTATGAAATACGGCATAGTATGCATTAATAAATCTATTAACCGTCCCGGCGTATTCAAAACAGTAGTAAAAAAATTGACTGCGTCTAAAAGTCGTCGAAGGAGTCGTATATTGGCAAAATTATTTTCCCGGACACCATGTGACAGTAAATCGAGTCCGAGAGACTCGAATTTGATCTCGACCAGATCTTGTTTACTTTTCGAGATACAAACGAAAATATTCTATCGTCTCCCGAAGTTTTTGCCTTTATATAAATCTAAAATTTAATAAAACTACATAAAAATAGCCTACTTGTCTTCTACCAAAATATATGCAATAATTCAGTCGACTTCGACAAAGAAAACAAATTAGTAAAACCTCCATCAATGTTCCAACCATCAAGGGTGAGATTTATCTGCGGCACTACCTGATCTCTCAAATAGTGTATGAAGTACGGCTTAGTTTACATTAATAAATCTATTAACCGTGCCGGCGCGTGTTAGGACTTTTTTGTGGTACAATTTTGACCTGACTCCTTTATCTCGCTCCTTTCTATTAGATCGCACGAGATGTCGACCTGCCTCGGCCAGAATAATAAGTAAAACACCTAATCTCGCCACTCGTAAAGCCGAAGATTAGCAAAACATCAGTAAAACGTGGCGGCGGCAGGGTAAGGAGGAGGGAAACTGCTAAAGGGCTGCGGGTCTAAGGCCATGAAATCCGCCCTTTGTATCTTCGGTCACCTGATACATTAAGAGTACGTAATAATCCCTTTGTCATTAAAATATACAAAACAAATTATGGGGGGGCACTCCTAGACCTAGTTAAACCCTTAGCTGAATAACGCCCTAGATGCCGCTAGTGTCAAACCCATTTCTTCGTATTTTATATGGGAATGGGGGCCTTATCTGCTATTGTGAACGCAACAAAATTGTTTGCCCTTAGTCTGTAATAACAATGAATACATAAGTGGGTCGATTTAACTAGTTTTTGGCACTGTTTCTGTTTGAAACATCGGTAAACATTGCACTTAACGTACAAAACATTCCAAATTTTTTGCAGCGTATCAAATGTACCGAGTAGTAAATACAAGGGAATTTTTACTTTATTTCGCGCAATCGAACGGAATAGAGAACGGCGGCTCTTCATCAGAGCTTCGCGTTAAATTGTATTCACGTTTCGCGGCTGGATTCACAAAATTATTAGTATTAAAGATGGATGGGTAATTTGTCTCCCTACTAATAAAACATAATTCTTAATATCACGTTAGGAGCCTTTTATAGAGGCGTGATTTTACACAGTACATGAAACCCAAACAACGGAACCCAACCGACAATAGACTTTATGAGCTTCCACTCGTTGTTAGCCGAAAACCAATAACACTGGAGCAGCCAGCAGACAAGATCCGCAACAGAAATATACGCGTTACGATTCTGGTCTATACATTATGTCGAAAGGTTTGAAATACACTAGTCGCAAAAATTAAAGGATAAGAAACATGTTAAATTTTTAGGTGATTTTCAAAAGGCAGTAACTTGGCGAAAAAAAAAAAAGAAATTGAAGCATGAAATTTGTAGGTTCAGGATCTAAAAATAAAAATTCTTTATCGTTGGCCACATTTAAGAAAATACAAGAAATCCAGGGGAGAAGAATTTTCAAAATTTTTGTTTATCAAAGCCAAAAAAGTCATTTTTTGCTTTGAAGGACTATAATTCAGCGACAAATCATCGTATGAAGCTCTTGGACAGAGCTGACAGGTGGGACTGTCAAAAAAAAAATTGAAGCCCGTGGACCTTTCGAAAGGGAAGCAAAAATTTCGATATTTTTTTCCGCTTGATCTCTTACGATTTCTCAAAGGTGGTTAATGTAAAAAATTTTTGACTTTCAGATCCTGAAACTACAAGCTTCAAGCTTCAGTTTGATTGATTTTTTATTGCTCTAGGACGATTTTTCGCCAAGTTATAGCCTTGTGAAAATCACCAAAAAATTTAGGACATCATATATTTTTTATCCTTTAATTTTTCTGACTAGTTTATTAAAAAATATATAACTCGTTTTTTCACCGTTTAAATATACAGGGTGCTGCAAAAAATAGGTCTAGTGAACCGCACAGCATTTGGTTGAAAATAATAGGATTTTCTTGTCATTTTTCTTTTAGGTACCCGTTTATATGAGAAATGTGCATTTAAGAACAGATTTTTATTAACATATACAGGATAATCCGTTAGCATGTGTGTAAGTATAACAGATTCCTTAACTCAAAATTTAGGTTTTGTTAAATCCGCTAGTTGAGTGCAAGTTCAATAAGTATATGATTCTTTGATTATTAACTAATTTTTCTTTGAATTAACTATTTTAGAAAATTGGTGAATATATAACTTTTACAGTAATACTTTTGAATATAACTTCATTGCATTTTTTATAAGTCACAAGCAAATAATTTTACTGGACATTGAAAATTAAGTTTTTTAACTACGAACGTCAAATTAATCGACAAAAAATTAAATATGGCGCCTAATTAATTTCACTCTGAGTAAAAATTAACTCAATAATATTCCAATTTGATTCATATTAGCTTATTAACTTAATTGTTATTATATGCTCATACTTTCAATCATAAAATTGCTATTACACTCATATTTCACTCATTCATGAGTGGACAGAAATTAGTACATTATTGAGTGTGGTTTGACTGAAATTTCACTAAAGTTTTACAGTTTCAATGTTTGTGTGCAAGAAAACAACGGTTTCAAAGTTTATTTTTGTTACTTTCTCACCATAATAAACTCTGAGTAAAAATTATATCAATCAATAATAGTTAAATTTGATTCATATTTGCTTATTAACCCTTAAGTGTTCTTCTATGTTCATGCTTTCAATTATAAAATTGCTATTACACTCATATTTCAGTCAATCATGAGTGGACAGAAATTAATACATTAATGAGTGCGGTATGAGTGAAATTTCACTCAATATCTTTTACAGTGTAAATGTTTGTGTACAAGAAAACGTCTTCAAAGTTTATTTGTGTCACTGTTTGGAAAAAACTCAGTTTTAGTGTGTACAATTTAAACTCGGAGTAAAAATTAACTCAATAATAGTTAAATTTGATAAATATTAGCTTATTAACCCCTGATTGTTCTTTTGTGTTCATGCTTACAATCATAAAATTGCTATTATACTCATATTTCACTCAACCATGAGTGGACAGAAATTAATACATTATTGATTATGGTATGAGTGAAATTTCACTCCATTTGTTTTACAGTGTAACTGTTTGTGTACAAGAAAACAACGGCTTCAAAGTTTATTTTTGTCACTAAATTGTGATTATTAAAACATTTTATAGTTTTCACATTTTCACCTACCTCTGTTTTAATTGTATAAATGATGAAGGTTTTTGGAAAAAACTCTGTTTTAGCGTGTTCAATTTAAATTTTCACCATAATAAACTCTGAGTAAAAATTAACTCAATAATAGATACATTTGATTTATATTAGCTTATTAACACTTAATTTTTCTTCTATGTTCATGCTTTCTATCATAAAATTGCTATTATACTCATATTTCACTCAATCATGAGTGGACAGAAATGAATACATTAATGAGTGTCATATGAGTGAAGTTTCACTCAATTTGCTTGTGTACAATAAAACAACGTCTTCAAGGTTTATTTTTGTCACTAAATTTGTGATTATTAAAACATTTTATGCTTTCACAATTTCACCTCCGTTTTAATTGTATAACAAATACAAAATCAATGTCTACTAGCAATTTGTTAAGTATGAGTATGGCTAATAATTGATGTTTGGCACTCGTTTCTGGTACACCATGTATATCTATCACTACTTGATTTCAATATATACAGCGTCAATATTTGAATAATAATTGATTTATGGAATAATTTTGATTATATTATGATTATGTGTAATTAATGGCCTTGAAGTAAAATTAATAACAAGTCTTGGCTGCGGAGTTTTTCACAGCGGATTGTGACAAAATAAGAAAACAAACACGTCCTTTTTAAAATAGGACACTAAAACGCCACAAGGATATTAAATTTTATGATTTAAGCAGATATTCTTGTTTTAATTGAAACCGTAATTTTGTTTTTTTGAAATATGAAGGCATATGACCATTTAAACAACTTATCTGATAGGATTAAATTTCTTGAGGCCTGTTTGAATGATTAAAATTTAGAAAATTTAAGACCACAGCTGTTATACAGTGTGACTCATTTCAAAGGGAAATACCTTTGTCAAAAAGATATTTAACGACAAATTTATTTTTTAATTTAAAATCCGACTACACCACTGGATTTTGCACCTTTCAATGAGTTATGTATAAAATTCCTAGAGAAAATGTTAATTGTTCATTGTAAAATTAATTTTTAAGGTTCTTTGTTTCTTTTATAAAATAAATATATAATGAAAAGTGATTATATTTAACAAAATAAGCCATGAATACAAGAATTGAACCACAATATTAGATTTAATTTTTTAATGTGGGACTGCACATTTATGGTTTTTTATTTTATTCACGAAATTCGGTACGAACCGCATTGAGGAGGCGCGGGATTCAGTGGCGTAGTCAGATTTTAAATAAATAATTTGATACTGGGAAAAAAAATAAAAAGTAGGCTTTGACACACTGTACAAACGTGTTATGTATTACGAAAGTTATATGTATATACATACAATTGTGCTTGAATTTAATTTTACAATTGTAATTTTCCACGTCTTAATAAACGTGAGTTTGTAATAATGGAATGGTTTTTAATGCGATTTTTTAAATTTTAGTGGTGGATGATCGGGTTAATGGTCGAGAAATTAATAATAAAAAATTACGTACGATGGCATAACAGACACAGAATATTGTGCGGCACCCTGTATAAGACCGTCACAAAGCTAGAGCTAGGTCGCACTGTAAATGGCGGTTTTCCACTTTCTGAATGAATTCCGCAATACACTAGCGAGAATAGTGTTGATTGGCAGATGCATGCACTGTTGAGATATGCGGGCGCACACTTGTGGACTGCCGATGTCCCATCGCAAATCGCAAGAACAATAACAATTAAACAGGAACGGGAGCTCGGTGGCGATGCGGCGGCAGAGAGAGAGCACGTGGTGGTCCGCGCGGTGGCCAGCGGCCAGGGCCGTTCTAGTGAATTGTTACAGACCAGAGGCAGGAGGCTCGGTGTTTGGATTCATTCCTCTTTATTTGATGCGCCGGGGTCTGGGCCTCGGCGGACCGGTCTGCGGTCTGCGGTCTCGGGTCTCCGGCATCGGGCGCCGGGTCGTGTAGTTCGGCGCGTTCCCCGTTTTGCGCTCGCTCGGAGTCCTCGCCTGCCCGGCGGCGAGGCGCCCCCACCACAGCGCCGGGAACGCCCCGTGGCCTATCGTGACCCACGTGTGAACCAAGAACCTCCCCGGACCGCCCAGGCCAAGTCAGTGTCGGGCCCGAGACCGAAAGGTCACTAGTAGAGGCTAGAGTGTGTCGTGGGGTTGACCTATCACCTCCAATGTGAAGATACGTGCTCCGGCTGGAATCGAACTCGCCCAAAGTCTCCAAGTGCGATACAGGTTCAGAGTGCAGGAGTCGGGTAGTGTCTTGAACCCGGTGTCGAGGTTGACGTGATGTCGGTGTGAGAGTGTGCAGTGCGTGTGCGGTGAGGTTATCTTTCCGTGGACGTGGAGCACCTAACTAGGCCGCAGCCAGACCTAGCCATGGCTCTGGTGGCAAGCTCCTGGCGTGAGTCCTCGCTCGTGAACCCGATACCCACCAGCCTGAACTCTTTGCCTAATGGCCTCAACCCCCTGCCACCGACCGTCGGGTCGGGTAATTTGAACCCGCTGCCCACGAACATTAACCCTATTACTATCGAAAATCCCGATATAGCGCTCATCAACCGCCAGACACCCTCGCAGAACTCGCAGAACAGTGCCAACAGTGCCGATAAGAACCAGAACATCGAGTGCGTTGTGTGCGGGGACAAGAGCTCTGGCAAACACTACGGCCAGTTCACGTGTGAAGGTACGTATTGTCCCGTTTACTACACCTTGGAACCGACTTATCATTTTAGACGCACATCTCCACTCAATTAGTACGTCTCCGAACGGCCAGAACTACTAGAATTAAAATTTAATGTCCCACAATTTTTTTTGAAACTATGAACAGTATTATTTACGTCCCCTGTATCACAATATGTACTCAAGGCATACTATAATATCCACATTACAGAGTACCTCTTAAAAACTAAATTTCTCTACTGCACTGGACATTTCACTCACGGATCAGTTTGAAATGATTTTTTATTAGAAAGAGTGTTAAAAACTTTAAACGCCGATGTCCTATCAAAGCTGGTGGCTCGAGTCAAACAAAATTTAACCACAATGAGTTTGTTGAAATCATACAATTTTACACAAAGCGATAAAACAATTATTTACGTCCTGCGTAACACAATTATTAATTTACGCACTCGAAGGTATTATTATAATTTCCATTTATTAGGTACCTCTTAAACACCACATTTCTGTACTGCACTGGATTCTTATCGTGTGTTCCCTCTTTTTTTACTAAAAGACCAGCTTAAAATTTATTTTTTATTAGAAAGAGTGTTAAAAACTCCGATGTACTAGTACTATTAGAGCTAGAATGCAAATAAAATTTAAGTATGTTGAATTTGTTGATATCTTAATTTTTTTTCCATTTATAAGCTACTTTTTAAAACTACATTTCCCTACTGCACTGGATATTTCACTCACAGATCAGTTTGAAATGATTTTTTATTAGAAAGCGTGTTAAAAACGTCGATGTACTAGTAGGTACTATTAATGCTAGAATTTAAATAAAATTTAACTATGTTGAATTTGTTGATATATTAAAATTTTAAAACAAAGCTAGAAAACCGTATTATTTACGTCACCCGTATCGCAAAAATATCAATTTCCAGTTGTAAGGCACCGTTTTAAAACTACATTGCTCTACTGCACTGGATTCTTATCATGTACAAAAATGTCCCCTCATAGCGTGCTTTTCGAAATATATTTTTTCATTAAAAAAAATCGGTTCAATTTTTAGATATTTTAAGGATGTTAAAATAAGCGTAACATACTACTATTTCAATCCAAATAAAATTTCACTATAATTGTAATTTCCTATTAAAAAATACCTCTTAAAAACTACATTTCTCTACTGCACTGGATTCCTTATTATGTATAAGGGATGTTAGTTCAACAAACTTTTCTAAACATATTCTTTTTTACTACTAGGTCAGTTTAAAATTTATTCTTTATTAGAAAGAGTGTTAAAAATCTTAACCGTCGATGTACTATCAAAACTAGTGGAGTCGAATAAAATTCAACTACGGTAAACATAATTTTTTTCGTCGGTTTCTATTACATCTTCAGGACTCTACCTACAGTTAAAACATTTTTCTTTTTCGTATAAGACAAAATATAAAGTTGAGCAATTTTGATTGACATGGTTGATTAACATTTTATTGTACTTTTTACAAAATGAAAAATATTTTAACTGTTGGGTCCTGAGGTGTAATGCGACAAAACGTCTACAAATTATAATAGTTTTTTTGTCAATACTTCCTGACCTATTCCTAAATACTTTTTTCCTCAAAACGCAGTGTAACAAACTTTGAGCCCTGATAGTACTTGTCAAAATTTGGAGAAAAGGTCCTGTGATCATATCCTCAGTTACTACTATGTTTCCTTTATTCAGTAGACCTAGTATCATGTTGTTGTACCCCTCTCGTCTTGGCCTACTGTGATTTATTTCAGTTACTGAAAATTTTGCAAGAAAAGTGTAAATTTTTCGACATTAAGATCATAAAATAATAAAAACATTGAAGCAAATGAAAAACACGAGGAATTATTGCATTTTTGAACCTTAAAAGCGAATTAAAAATATTTACAGAGTATTTTGGACGGTGTTATTGTATTTTACATAAACAAATCCCCAATACAAAGTTGTTCCCAAAATAATGTAGACAAATATGCGCCTATTTAATAAAAAATATTTGGCTTGCACACCTACGAATCGGGGCGCCCTGTATACGAATTAGATCAATGTTTCTGCAAAATTATTTAAAAATGTTCGAATTTTCAAAATGTTTTTAATATTACGTGCTTCAAACTTAATAAAAACGTAAAATAATAAAAATGAATAATAAAGATTATTTTCCTTAGACACAGACATTTTATAGGAATAGTCTCGATTTTTTAAAATAATTAAAACTACCTATTCTAAATTTTATTTTTTTAGGCACTTTGGGAGACAAACAATTATTTAAAGTGTAAAATACATTTACCAATTAAATATTTTTGCAGCCGTTTTTTTTAGAAATATAAAATTATTTATTTCAGAAATCAGTTTATTAAAAACTTTTAAACCTGAATCACAACACACTTTATAGAAAGGGAAGTGAAATGTCTTATATCGTCGAGTGCTATTGTTATGATGTGTTTTCATTTAACTTAAAAGTTGACTTATTTCTAAAAACGTATACGGACAATTCAAATTAATTAATTTAAATGTCTATAAACTATTAAGTACATTTTTTTTAATTTTATTGACGCCTTAGCACCTACTTTTTGTAATTTTTTCCGCGAAAAAAACGTAGTGATTCTTCTCTTTATGGGCGCCCAACTACTTTAAATTTTTCCATCCACAATTTGACGGGAGCTTGTGCGGTAAATCGGTCAGCGGCAGCTCGTCGTAACCGTACGTTAAAAAAATCAGTTCCCACTAGAGAAGTTGTACTGTAAAACCCATCCACCGGAACATCGACGTCTGTTATCCCCGATTTTTTTACGTGGCCACGCTCTAGTGCCCGCCAGACAATTACGTAAATCTGGAAACAATTCGTACATTGTCAATGCGTCCGGTAAAATTGTTTTGTCTAATTTTTCCACTGAAAAAAGACCCGCGTATTATTATTAATAACGGAAAAAGACATTAAGGCAGGTGCGCTCATGAATAATATAAATGACAATTCTTTGTATCGACGCGACGTCGAATTCCACCTATCAACAATGCCTAATTCATTTGTGAGATATCTCGAGACGAGTGAATTCACCTCGTCATCACTACTACGCTAAATATCCTTATCGTCTATTTAATAATCGTTTAATGGAACAGAAAATGCGACATAAGACGGAGAATATTATGCTTCGAATATTAAGTTCTTGATATTAAATTTAAATTATAATTTCCAGTTTCATTGTAGTCTTTCCGAAGTCAGTTGAACATGTAAAAAAACGCCTAACAATAAAATTTAAAAATTTAAGAGTTTCATAGCCGTCCTTAAAAAAAGTTTTCTGCTAAAGATATTTATGTCCTTAAACAATTTTATTATATTGATGGTAAATTTCGTTTTGTTCCGTTTCAAAAGGTCTCCAAAATGACATGTTGTAATAATATTATTTCGCCCTTTCGCAATTGTAATATGAATGATTAATAGAAGGTGCCCATAATAAATTAAAATTACCTGAATCACACCAAATTCCACATTGCTGCACTGCACTGCTAGGCAATTTGTCAACGATTTGTCATTTATTTGTATAGCAAAAGCTTCAAAAACGCTTCTAAACATTATTGAAAATACGTAACACTTCTTTGAGTAGCAATTAACATAACGCCAGTATTTTTATTAACAATTCCACAAATCTGTCTATTCTTGGTTAATGCGAAAATGGCGTGTCAAATACAGCTTATTTAAACAGAAATTAACAATTGTAATAATTTTATTATACTTTTTGTTTGTCTTAAAATTGCAGGTACTTAGATTTTTTTTCGCTTTTTATAGTCCCTATAATGTACCTATACGCCGAGAAAAATGTTTAAATTAAATAAATACAAGTTTGCTGCTGCTACAAAGTTGTTCAACGATTACCATATGCCCTGATTTATTGTAAATTTAATAATAGAACATTTGGGCAAGATTTATTAAAAATTAGTGTAAAAATTTTATTTTTTAGGCAGAACGTGTGCTTTTTTATTATTTAAAAGTGATCTATACTTTTGCATAAAACAACTGCAATTATTTCTGAAATTACTTTTATCCCAATTACTTTTTTTTTTCTTCTGACGGTCATTAGGTTTATACACGGAGAAAAATGTTTAAATAAAATAAATACGAATATGGCGAAGATGTAAAATTGTTGAACAATGTCCATATACCCTTCTTTAGCGATAAAACATTAGGACTAAATTAAAAATTAATGTAACCAACTTTATTTGGCAGAAGAATGTGTGTGAAAATTAACCTCACTCCCACTCAAAATACTTGCGACTGTTACTGAAATATTTACTTTTATTGTGAATCATAGCATATTTCTGTTCCTAAAATATACTTCAGCTGCTAAACATTATTGGAGATAATTAAAAAAACAACATTGTTCCATACTTTGGCTTAAAATCGCAGTGAATTTACATTTTCCCCCTCCCTACACACTTCATTAAAATGCCTATACACTGAGCAAAATATTTATAGCAAATTTAATAAAAATTAATGTAATATTTTTTAAACAGAACAGCCTAGGTTCTCTGAAATATATTTCAGCTTCAGTTATAATTTATACTTTGTTTTAATTTGGCTGCTAAGCGTTATTGGAGGCACTTAACACTCCATTAATTAGCAATTAACATAATGACAGTACTTTTCATTAAGAATACGACATATCTGTGTTTGCCTGTTAATGGAAAAATGGCGTGTAATAGGTCATTTAAACAGGAATTGCCTCAATAATGTTTTTTTTTTAATTCAAAATAAGCCTATACGCTCAGAAAAATATTTATTAAAATATGGTCATTTATTTATTAACAATCAGTTAATGATATTTTCCCTGTTAAGTTCGGTATTGTATTTTGGGTGAATCTGTCGTGATTAACATATCGCAAAGTGAAAAAAATTAATAGCCATTTTTCTGGTCGACATAACACCTGTTAAGGCATAAGCGGTGATCTGTCCGTACCCTCGGGCAGCACCAAAATAACTATAACCCCCTATGAGTGCTCTCATACATATTCAGTATGTAAATTTTCGAATCCTCACTCCCGTGTTTATGTATTCTTTATATTCAGGAATTTCGCCACTAACCAGTGACATATTAATATCCGATGTGTGGATTTTGCATTGTTTACTTTTAACCATATCGCCTGGAAAAAGCCATTGTTAAACGCTTCTTAGTTATTTAAAATACGATACGGTTTTTTTTTTTTGTAAAACTGTTAATGTTAACTTAAAAAATTATTATCCTCGATCCCTGTTCCAGTCCTAAGCCTTTGCTTTGCTTCACTTCGACTCGCAAAGGGTCCGTCCATTCAACGGAACGTCTACTATTGTAATTATTATTGTTAAAATGTACACCTGGTTTTTGGTTTCGCTGAATACGTTTCGCAGTTCGAAACGCGTATAATTACGTCCTTTTCCAGCCCAGATTGAATGGTCATTTCACCCTTTTTCCGGTTTCTTCTAGACTCTCCAAATTAACAGTAAGGAGATATCACATTTACCACACTTTTACTATACTTTTTAAATGCCTTCATTAGCTTGGCTGAGTGCAGTATCTGATGAGAAATTACTACGAGATCATATCAGCCACCAATTATGATAATTAAAGTTAATACGAACTTAAAACAAATTATACCGCGTCATTGTGTGTATTTTTGTGGTAGATATAGTCTTTCCGATCTCAATTGTAGAACCAAGAGGTTGGCAGTATGTACCAGCTTCGGTCGCTGACGCAGCAACTCGACATTGAAATATTTGAAAAACCTGTTCCCATATTTATTTAGCCACACCCATACGCAGATCTGGTCACCCAGTTGGAGAATGGGCGCGCGGACAAACGCGGCACAAATAGTTGTCAACATACGGCCTAGCAGTGCAATGCAGCAACGCGGAATTTGGTGTAATTCGGGTAATTTTAATTTATTGTAGGCACCTTCTATTGGTTATTCCAATTATATACAAATTATTATAATTTTTTACCTTTGGCAGAAAACTTTTTTAGGGACGCCTATGAAACCCATTAAATCTTATTGCTAGGCGTTTTTATACATGTTCAACTATATACAAAAATAGTCTACTTCTTTTAGGTATGTCAATAAAACAATTAATATTATTAATAAAATGGAATCATTTCTGTGGAATCTATCTTATTCTGATAATTACCATAATAATGTAAAATTTATCCGCTTCCCATGACACGAATCGTATTGTCATTAGTTAAAAGATCAAAGACAAACGCACCTCGAAACAACGAAAAAAATACAGATTTCTGCAGGAGTTTCGTCACATATTGCGCCTCTCGCGCAGTTATTTGCGTTTATATTTTATGAATGTATTAGTGGAGTCGGATTTGCCTAAAAATGCGGCTAAAAATGGACTGAACTTATTTAAATTTATATAGTTAGTTAAATATTAATGGAATTAATTAACATACCGGGCCGATCACAATATTTGAGAACTGTAAATATAAGAAAGTTACATTTAAATAAATTAAAGTTGAATAATCTGCATATTTAACGAGAAGCTGGTCTCTTGTAAATCACGGCGAGTAAAATCATAGATTAACATCAGAGTCGTTGACTTTAATTTAATTTGTGGCGATAACATTAAGCCACGCGATTTAATATTTGATTGACTTAGAAGTAATTGTATATGAGAAATCTTATAGTGCAAGAAACCTTTCTTATCGGGATTAGGACAATGGTGGATGCGAAAAGAGTGGTATAAATTCCACAAGGGCTTCTAAATGGGTATTACTGCGAAAAGAGACACACCTTATTCAGTTGAACACCCTCGAAAGTTGAATCTATGGAATTATATAATATAAAATAATAGAACACGCCGGTCGAGTTCCGTTCACAAAGGCGAAATGTTAAAAAATCTAGACGTCGTTACCGGCCCCTACGGTTGAGAATTTGACAACCCCTTGGGGACCTCGGAAGAAAAATGAGCCTTTATAAAAACATTTCGGCAATAAAACTATAAAGATGAGACATGTATGACAGGCAAAGTATTACCGCCATTAATTCACTAATCTTTTTCGTAAAAAACTAACTTACCGGCCTGAATAAACATCGGCCCGACCAAAAGTAATCAGAATAACGCCTGTATCGGCACGAAAATTCGTTCCGTTTTTAATGCTTTGCAAAAATTTACCACGGTTTCGAATATTTTTCGAAAAGTTTTCATAAACTTGCGATAAGAACTGTAATTATTGTTTTTCTCCATAATACGAAATGTACGTTTTTTCTCATGGCATAACCTGTAGGTATTTACACAAAATAATCGTTTTAAAGTTATTATACAAAACTTTATTTTATCAAAAAAATATATTGAAACTGATAGAAAAAACGTTTTTACAATTATTGGGTTGCAAAACCAAGACATTTTAATTAAACTTATTTTAGGTTGACACCAAGTATAAATCTACATTAAAAAATTATATTCCAAATTTTTTATGTATTTAATATCATTCGGTATCTTACAATTAAATATTATGTACAGTATGTTCAAAATGAGATATATTAACACTTGCATCGGCCAGGGACATTTAAATTAAAGCCGTTTTGCAGAATTTTATTGTAGTTTCTATTATTTTTTCAAAATTTTTATCTGGGTAGAAAAAACTGAAATTTGGCATATTATGTCTTCCTCTATACCACGGAATAATAATTTTTTTTAATTAATCGTTTTATATTTATGCAAAATTTGAATTTATTAAGAAATTTATTGAAGTTGATAGAAAAAGTGTTTACTTTGATATAATAGTATTTCGGTTATTTAAAGAGATATTACAATGAAGCAAGTTTTGCAAAATTTCACTACAGTTTGGAATATTATTCCCATAAATTTTGAAGTGTGGAAAAACTGGAATCTGGTATTTTTCACATTCTTCCATAGCACAAAAGATTAATATTTTTCTTAAATTAATAGTGAACATATATAATTTGCTTAGAATCATGTTCCCATTAGTAAATAAAAAATTAGTTTTACTTTAGAAAAAAAAACAATGCAAATTAATCGTTTTAAAATCAAGCAAAGCTATTTTGATAAAAAAAATGTATTGAATTAAGATATTTTTGTTAAAACATATATCTATAGCATATGTTCACAAAAATAACATTCCAAATTTTTTATGAATATATCCATCGTCAAATTAAATCGTCTTTCCGAAGTCAGTTGAACGTGTATAAAAACGCCTGGCAATAAAATTTAATGAGTTTCATAGGCGTCCCTAAAAAAGTTTTCTGCTAAAGGTAAAAAATTATAATAATTTGTATATAATGTGTAGAAAATTTCTATTATAACATATGTTCATTTGGCCAACAACATATTTCAATTATTTATGACCTCAAACAATTTTATTATATTGGTGGTAAATTTCGCTTTGTTCCGTTTCAAAAGGTCTCCAAAATGCCATTTTGTGATAATATTAGTAAACAAAATATGAATATAATATGAATGATTAATAGAAGATGCCTATAATGAATTAAAATTACCTGAATCACAACAAATTCCGCATTGCTGCACTGCACTGCTAGGCAATTTATCAACAACTGAGATTTATTGCCCAGTCGCCTAGTGCGGCTATGTTAAATTTTGCTATAGTTTCGAACTTTTTCCACACTTTTCCATAAATTTTGAGATATGTGTAAAAAACTGTAATTTGACGTTTTCTATCTTCCTTCTTGGCGCAAAATCGAGAATATTTATAAAAACGGTAAAGTAACAAACGCGTCGGCCGTTGAATAGTCTGAAGCGCCTTATCTTCGAATGAAAACCCGATCTCGATGTGCGTTACAAGATCCGAGAGCTCAAAATCCAAAAACGCTGACTAAGCATTCTCACTTAATACTTGTGATCCTATAGAGTGGAGATCTAACTGTTTTTATTGATGTTTCAGGTTGCAAGTCATTTTTTAAGAGAAGTGTCCGAAGGAATTTAACGTACTCGTGTAGGGGTAGCAGGAATTGCCCCATAGACCAACACCATAGGAACCAGTGCCAGTACTGTCGATTAAAAAAATGCATGAAAATGGGCATGCGACGAGAAGGTAATAAACAACTCTATCCCGCTCATAATAGTAAGTATGGTATTTTTGGATATACAGTACGTTAGCCTGAAAATACCAGAAACTTGTTGCCTTTATTTCCGTCAGTTCATTACATAATTGCATGTAGTTATTATTTTTTTTTAAGTGTTTTCTCGCTGTTGATACGAGAGAGGCCCAAAGGTTATCGGTTTCTGCCTGAAATTATTATCTTGTTAAAAAAAAACAGTAAACAAGATTTTGCTTACAATATCGACATGGTTTAATTACGCTTTTAAATTGTAATTATTCCAATACTGATAAAAAGTTTACATCCACGTCATAAATGGAAACATATCTGTACGAGACCAATAGCCGGGGGGTTCCTTTGAAGAAATAAATCACGTATCAGGAGCAAATTATTTTTATTCGAAACTGTAGCGAAAATATTCACGAACTCCATTACACGCGATGTTCACTGTGAGTGCGCTGGCCCACGGTAAAAACTCTTTATGAAAGGAATATTTTACGGTTTTTTTTGTGAAATAGTATTGCGAGGAAGCCATCCTGTAGGCTCCTGCGGAATTTGAATTTCATGTGAGCCGGGCATTTAGTGATGTATCTTTTTAAAAATCTGTATAAGCCAGGGAAAGAAAATATTTAGGCTTATGTATGTATAGCGGTCGTAGAATAGCAAACCAGAACCCTATTCTTGTAGATGATTGATCGATTTAATATACAAATACTTGACCGTAAGGCCTAACAAAGGGCCGTAGCCGTACCTAAAAGATCGTTTACCACTTGCATACATTAACAACTGACTTGAGATTAATGGTCGAATACGTGGCGGTATTGCCGGTCAGTATATGGGAAAATATTTAAATTTGTTCCTATCGTATCGTTACACTCTTTCTGCTACCTATATTTACCCCAAGATGTCGATAAATGGTCAATCACGTTACCGATTCGACCGTATCTTTTATTTTTCTATATCTCCCCTATGTTTATTCTATTCAAATAGCTGATTTATATGTGACCACAGGGCGATCTTTTCCCTATCTCCCGAGAGGTCGGTGAGGTATAATAACTATTCTTACAAAAATATTTTCATCGCTACTTAACTGAAACCTTATTTCCCAAAAATCTAAAAAAATGCGAATCAAGAGGAAAGAACAGCAAAATTACAATCATTCAAATAGAGTACTAACTTTAAAGTAAAATTACATTATTCAAAAAGATGTAATTTTATTGTAAAATTACAATTGCGTATATAACTGGACGTAAAATTACAATAAAAGTGCTAGAATAGTGAAATTAAATCAGACATTAATCGTTGTAAATGGTTGTCTTGACTTAAAGACAGAATACATTATAAATTACATATTACAGTTTGAATTTTACAAATAGAAAAGGTAACTATTTCCAATATAAAATAAACGGTTATCATAAACTTTAATTGTCCAGCAACTAATTCTGTAAAAAGCTAACTACAGTAGTGTAAAATTACAGCGAAATTACAATAAACTTACGGAAAGGTATATAATCACTTCAATTTTTTATTTTTAATAGTAATTAATGTATATATTTCCAAAAAATTTAAAAAATACGACACAGGAAGAAAATACATAGTAAAAGTACAATAATTAAAATAAAGGACTTATTGACAGCAATACTTTGAAATTTCCATTGAACTGTGAATTTACAATTACATTGTAAAGTGTCTGTAAAATTACATTTCTCTTGGTAGAATTTTACACTTAAAGTACACGACTTGACAATGTCTGGCAAATTTACAAAATAACTGTTGTATATAATTGGAGGTAAAATTACACAATAGTGAAATTAAACCAGATATTGATGGTATTTTATTACAAATGAACGCGAATAAATGGTTATCTTGACTTAAAAACCAAATAAGTTCTAAATTACATATTACAATTTGAATTTTACAACTGAAAATGTAATCTACTTCTATGATAAATATCCACTGTAATGTTTTATTTATAAGGGAAATTATGTATTTATATCTGTAATACGAACGTAAATTTACATTAATGGGAATTATGAATACAATGCAAATTTACTTTACTACCTCTTTTTCATGTGAATTGTTGGTTTTGCCACATTTTGCAAAGATTTGCGAGTCGTTCTATCCAAGCCGATAATGGTACGCTTCCTTAGAAATCCATTAAAAGAATTAGCTCAGACTTAAAGATAAGTACCAAAGTTCATTAGTTCGTCATTTAACAGATAAGGACATAGTAGTCTTGTTATTAGTTTTTATGCCATAGAACATAAAATTAATCTATTTTATTATCGAGGCAATAGCGCTATATTTATTTATACTGCAGTAAAGGAAATAACTACGGTTTTATTGACCATTTTTCAGAGCATTTCGAGAACTTGTTTCAACTTAAAATTCAGATAAATGAGCGATGGGAGTAAATATAGGTATTTCTTTAATTATTTTAGGGTAAGATTTCTATTTATAAGTGGACCATATGATAACTGTTCCACGTTTTCAAGATATGTTTACTTAAAATCGAAATCAAAATGGCTACTTGAGTTACAGCATATATATTTATAGCTACACAAAGTTAACATTGTATCAATTTCCTATATTGTACCGAGCAGATTTCGCATCTTACGGTTTCTAAAACAAACTTTCTTTATCCACTTTATTTTACGTCACTGCTTTTAAGAGAATGCGATCGAATAAATTTCTTACACGTGACCTTTTGACCTTACGCGAGACCGGCTATGTCAACCCTTTCGGTTCATTAATAATTTCGCTATTAATCAGACGAATTGTTTATCAGAACCATAAATTAGTGTTAGTTTGTGAGATATTTCCGGTATTCTCAACAAGTGTACCTAATTTATTATTATGACGGTAAAACATTCAAAGTGTTCTTTTTTATTAACTCTTCAGACAATATTTGTCCGAGAATCATCAGTTTTGTTCTAAGCGGAAATACGCCAATTATCGTCTTTGGATGTTGAACTTATAAAAAGAAATATCAAATCGATAAATTATTGTGTTCTGTTGCATTACCAGAAAATGGTTTAACACTAGAACCAGTGGCGTATAATCAGGGTCATAATAAAAAAAATGCGTTTTTACGTTTGCTTAAATAATATTCACTGCTGGTAGTATCAAGGGTACCTACGTGTAACGTTTCAGTATCTTTTGTATTCGGTTAAACGCTGTAATACCCCGTAAAACGAGACGCATATGCCCGTACTGGAGTCAGGTAGCAAAAATGAAACTTGTTTCTGAAGGGTTCCTATTCGCATATAGACACCTTACGTCTTGGGGTAACGTATATGGATGACCAGTGTCCAGTAAATATTATGTAAATCAGGATAAGGGCACGTTAAGGGATCTTTATTCAAATCTGGTCTAGTATTCTTTTTTCGTGGGAAAACATTGGGGCCCCGGCTTATGAGAATGTGAGACTGGCATACGAAATGCGATTTAAGGCGACACAAAACAAAATTTGCATTGCCTTTCTTCCTGTAATTCGAACGACCGAATATTTACCCGCAGGAGCAATTATAGCAACCCGGATATGTTTCAACGCGTCTATATTTCATTAACCCTTCAAAAATTCATGATATTTCGAAGACAATATTTGTGTTTGTTTCAAAAATTCTGATTCAACTCAATATATTTTTAAATTATGCCTGAATCTATCAAAAGTTAACCCTATGCTCTCAGTGTGTTCTCCTAATGATGTTGAAAATAATATGTATACTAGATTTGTGGTTAATTGGAACATTGAAGGAGGATTTTTGAAACCAAAAGGCATTCTGAGAAATTCGCACCTTTTGAGAATGAATTTTCTCAATGTCTATCCACTGGCTAAATCGATCGATATTTCACTAACCTTTTGAATATATAAGGCATAATTGAAGACCCCCAGGGAAGAAGGAGGCATGTGACGACATATTCTAGTCGACAAATTCACTGGAGACAGACCCCACAGTCCGTCAATACTTGTGTTTGTTTCAAAAACTTTGATTTGTCCGTGTTTTTAAATTAAGCCTAAATCTGTCAAAAGTTAATCTTATGCTGTCAGTGTACTTGTAAGGACGTTGAATATTATTATTTCATTGATGTAAACTAGACATCGATTAGGTAAACCTGATAGAACATGATTCGTGGTTCGTTGGAGCTTCTAAGGCACATTTTGGTGACCAAAAGGCATTCTGAGAAACTCATAATGACCATTACTGGCCTAATGTAATGTAAGGTCGTGTTTATTCGCTTTTCAAAGCGCCTGTACGCATATTTCAATAATTTTAATCAACATATTTTTAAATAACTAATAATATATGTGTTTGGCGCAATATGAAGAAAACTTATTAATAAAAAACAGTATAAATTATAGCGTAACGCCAACAAACTATGACCTGCAACCGGTTTTAAATGTATTGTAGATGCAAATGCAATTCTATATACATATATACATAGTTATTTGCGCGAAAGGTATTCAAACGTTCCTTATAGATACACGAATTATCGTTGAATAAATTATTGTTTATTTAAATCTCACCTTCACTTTCGCAACGAATATTCGTGTACGTTTTTAAAACCTCGAATCTTCACGGGCCATTACGATAATTTAACGGCGGGAGAAAAATGGATACTAAGGCGAGTAAAAAAATTCAAACATCACAATTAGCACATAGAGCCTTGTTATAAAGACGCTAGGAACAATAACCCGAGCCGAAATGAGATGGTAAGTAAAAATTGTGCGAAGTGCGCGACAAAAAGTGGGGTTACATTATACTGGAGGAGAGGTTGAAGCGTTAGTGTCACTTACAGGGTGTCTGCTAGATCAGTACACTTACTCGCCGGAGTCGGATATTCACACAAACGTCCTGTACCTTAATTAAAGCCGATTAAGGTTTGGAAGGTTAGTCGAAAAAGTAATTACAATAGAACCGGAAGTAGATCGATGAATATTGATGAAATAGATTTGAATTGACCTTAAATAGATATTTTTTCAGGAATTTGT